TTAATGACTCTCCTAACAAGATTTTCTCTGGAGATTTTTCTTTGGTCAGTGAGGTTTCTAGAGAGGTCGCTGTTCTTGACAGACGGTCCCGGAAGGAGGATGTCCCCTTATGTCAGGAATATGATTGTCCCCTCACTGAGGGTCCCAAAAGGGAGGACTGTTACCTAATATCAAGAAGGTCCCGGAGAGGCGATTGTCCCCTGACCAAGGGTCCTATGAGCGACACTCCTAACGAAGGGTTTTACTAGAGATTTCTGTTACGTGAATGAAGTTTCTAGAGAGGGGGCTGTTCCTTGACAGAGGGTCCCAGGAGGATGATTGTCCCCCTACTGAGCGTCCTGGAAAGGTACTGTCTCCTGACAGCATTAAGATGACTGTCCCCTTGCAGAGGGTCCCAAAGAGGCAGCTGTTCCCTCAGAAAGGGTCCCGCAGGGGCGGACTGTCCCCTTCGCTGAGGGTCCCGCAGGGGCGGACTGTCCCCTTCGCTGAGGGTCCCGCCTGTAGTATTGGCCAGGATGCATAATGCACTGATTGCTGTCATCTCTTGCTCCAGTTGCCTTCACCGGCATCTGCTGCTCTTCCCAATTCAGCAGAAGGAGAAATTCTTAATTGCGTTTCCCTCTCCGGGTGAAGCCGATGCAGAGGTACGGTTCTCATGAAGAAACATTTTGGCTGCTTGGCTTCCTGCGGATGAGTATATGAGCGCGGCTAGAACTCGGCGGTCTCTGGCCATTGACATAGAAGGGAGTAAACACTGCAGTGGAAAGATCTCTGCTTTCCCGGCTCTGTTTGCTTTATTTACCTGAACGTTCAATACATCTCCAGCTGTCAGAATCCCCGAAGTGTTTGATGTTTGTTTAGTAGTTATGGGAAGCTTGAGGAGAGGCCAAGCCAATATCTTTTCTTTATTCACCCTGTGTGAAAAAAAAGTGTTTGCATCAGCAGAATGAACGTCGATGACAGATCTACATGCAGCCAGACAGTCATTTACCTAAACCTTCATTTCAGGTAATATACACTATAGTGCCAAAAGTATTGGGACGCCGGCCTTTACGCGCACATGAACTTTAATGGCATCCCAGTCTTAGTCCGTAGGGTTCAGTATTGGGTTGGCTCCGCCCTTTGCAGCTATAACAGCTTCAACTCTTCTGGGAAGGCGTCCACAAGGTTTAGGAGTGTGTCTATGGGAATGTTGGACCATTTGTGAGGTCAGGTACTGATGTTGGGGGAGAAGGCCGGGCTCGCAGTCTCCGCTCCAAATTATCCCAAAGGTGTTCTATCGGGTTGAGGTCAGGACTCTGTGCAGGCCGGTCACGTTCCTCCACCCCAAACTCCCCCATCCATGTCTTTATGGACTTTGCTTTGTGCACTGGTGCGCAGTCATGTTGGAACAGGAAGGGGCCATCCCCAAACTAAGGTGTGCTGATGCTTTAAGAGTTCCCTTCACTGGAACTAGGGGGCTAAGCCCAACCCCTGAAAAACAAACCCCCCCCCCCTCTATAATCACCCCTCCAACAAACTCTACACTTGGCACAATGCAGTCAGGCAAGTACCGTTCTCCTGGCAACCGCCAAACCCAGACACATCCATCGGATTGCCAGACAGAGAAGCGTGATTGGCCACTCCAGAGAACACGTCTCCACTTCTCTAGAGTCCAGTGGCGGCGTGCTTTACACCACGGCACCCCACGCTTTGCATTGCACTTGGTGATGTAAGGCTTGGATGCAGCTTCCACTTTGTTATAATACCAGTAACAGGTGACCGCGGAATATTTAGTAGCAAGGAATTTTCACGGAAATTTCACCTGAATCCAATGATTTGGAGGGGTGTCCCAATACTTTTGGCAATATAGTGTATATCGATGGATCAGAACCAGGTGAGCAGATGATAAAAACTGCAAGTAGCATTCACAATCAGAATTTGAATTGGGTGCACTGTATCAGGATCACCCACCATCAGGAAAACCAACCTTGAGAAATGCCATGCAGCCATTGCTACAGCTTGGCATCAGGGATGCGGTCGTTGGACCCCAACAAGCAGAATCTGGACTGGGAACATTGATTCGTGGAGGGGTAATAGAAGTGATCTCTACAAGCCTCATGTAACAAGTCCCCAGTCTAGCAATGTCTTCTGCAGTATATTTCTCGTTTCAACCCTATGGCAATGTCAGGGTCACAGCAGGGCGCACCCCCATACCTCCTAAGTTGACGACCATCTACTCTAAAAAAAAATTCATGTATTTTTTAGGGCTGCGGAAGTTAACGATTAATCTCTCGATTAATCGTTAATTTTTTTTTGATCGGTCAAAGTTATTTTGATCCGTACTCGCCTCTCCGCCGGCTTCCAGGTCTTCCGTCGGAGATCCGGTGACGTCACGGACATCGACGTCATCGGACTCCTCCCCCCTTCCCGAAGTGGCTGTCGGCTAACGAAGGGAAAGGGGAGGAGTCCGGTGCTTGCAGCTACAGTGGTCAGTGAGGACTGGTTACTACCTCTTAAGAATATGTAAATATTGGGCTTTACACAGCTTGACCACAGGTTCACTATGAAGCCCATTCTAAAGAGAAATATGTTGGCGTTGTAACTATCTTAAAATGCCAGTTCCCTGGCTGTCATGCTGATGTTTTATGCTGATACTTTGAGTCACTAACCCAGAACAAGTATACGGAGTTGTAGTCAAGTTTCTCTGACTCTTGGTCATGAAGGGGTTACTGTCCTCGTGTGAAGATTATGGAGGGGGAAGTGTACCCCAGCATGGGTCCAGGAGTATATGGAGTTGTCAAGTTTCTCTGAGTGAGGGTCTTGGAGGGCCCCCCCCTCGAACAAGGGTCCCGGAGTGGCTGAAAGCGAGGGCCACCCCAAGCGAGGGTCCAGGAGTGGCGACTCACCCCGAGCGAGGGTCGCGCAGTGGGTAGGCTGTCCCCTGAGGGTCCCGGTGTTCCTCAGGTTGGGGTCCCAGAGGACTTGCCCTTTGGTGTATATGAAACGGGCATATTGAAGCCATACACAGCCAGGCGATTATCATTTGCAGAGGGCGGCCAGTATAGGCGCCTCGCAAAGTTCCCTCATGACAGGTAATTTGATAAAAATCCTTCAGGTTTCTAAAGCTGATTGTCTCTGAAGATGCAATAAATCCTGGCTCTGATTGTTTCTGTAACCTGCAATTATTCCACGCTTTGCTGTGACCGGGAGGTCGAGAACTCTTCTAGTACGAAAAAGAAAAATGAAAACTGCTTGTTTTATTTTCATCGATGTCTCCGGTGAGGGGAAAAGAAACGGAATGAATTGCTCGTTCTTTCTGCAGCATTACAACCCAAATCCTTCCGGTGTTATCGCAGTTCTCGCATACGAAGCCTTTCCTACTTTTTACATTTTTTTTTTTACATTTACCTCCGTTTTGGTTTGAATTAGAGATGTCTAGATGCCACTTTTTTAAGACCAAGTACAAGTACTTTCCCGCAGGTACTTGCCGATACCAATTACCGATACTACTGGTCCTCCCCTGTTAGTAGTCATCGGGATCCCCCAGCTTTGGACACTGGGGCGGTCACTCCGGTAGTTCTGCCCGTGGGGCTGTCCATGGCTGTGCCTGCGCCGGGAAGGAGGCGGAGATAAAGAACCAGGCAAGCACTGCCATGGACAGCTACTTGCAGGTCACCAGCAAGCTGCTGAGGTCCCCACAAGCGCAGATGCTCAGCAGCTGCTGCGTTTTAAAAATGTACCGGTATCTGCCTTAAGAATCGGGGCATTTTCACAAGTACTTGTGAAAATGCCTGGTATCGGCCCCGATACCGATACTAGTATCGGTATCTGGACATCCCTAGTTTGGATGGTAGCCGGCAGGTTGTAGAACACGCTGGAGTTTCTGAATTTTCTGGGGCACTCCTAGTAAGATCTTAACATCCAGCAATCCTGCTTACACCCGGCTGCCCTGATCATTGTACTTTATTGAAGTCATGCTTCTGCGATTGGCTTAATTATGAATCAAATTGGGGAATAATACGTCAGAGCAAAACCATCGTTCTGGAAAGGGGCGGGGACTCAAACTACTGTGGAAAGATCTCACTATTGCAGCTTCTGGTGGATGTGTTGGGGGGGTGTAGAGTGAGATTAAACAATTATTAGTAATAGAAAAAAATAATATATCCAAGTCTAACAAAAAAACATGATCTGGCAAAGTATTTCTTTACATTTTGGCACTTACAGCAGGGGTGGACAAACTCCGGCCCTCCAGCTGTTTGTGGCTCTACAAATCCCGGGAAGCATTGCAAGATTCCCACAACTACAGGCATTGCAGGATGGGAATTATAGTCTCACCACAGGTGGAGTTTGCCCACCCGACTTACAGTCATGTTTGCAAGCAGCTTCTACTCTCTCCGCTCCACTTCTCTGAACTTCCTGTCCAGTACATGATCTCAAGGGACAGAGCAGTCTCCAGCAGTTGTCTATACACTAGCTAGGAGGACGGAAAGCAGAGGATTGGCTTGCTTTGCTGTGTCTGTATGTTTGGGGAGACCAACACAGCTCACTAGCACACAGAAGGGTGGCTCCATAGGACCCTGTAAGTGAATGGAGTCAACCTAAAACAGGACCAGTGCTCAGGGGACCAGCTGATTCTACAGGAAACTTTTAAGCATCGAGAAGCAGCGTCCATTGTGAGTGATTTCATCAGCATTTGAAAGTCTAAAACCTTTAATATCACTTTAATGGTCTTGTGAAGTTGTGTCTGTTAGAAATACTCGACCGAAGAGCCAGGAAACACTTTATTTTTTTTCAAATCCTGCTTATTGAAGTTCAGTTTTATTGCAGTTTTTTTCATCTTAAAATAGAAGTTTACAGCAATTCGTTCTAAAAATAAAACTAATAAACTTATGTCAGAAGTGCTCTTCGATTACTAACATCTGATGTGAAGGGCCACAGATGCAGCTATTCGCATGCACACGTTTTATTGGACTTTTTGAAGTTGCAGTTTACTGTATATATTTTATAACGGCCTTTCCCAACCAAGGTGCCATGGCAGGGCTTAAAAGGGGGGGTTGCTGCTGATGTGGCGATAGAGGGGGGCTGCTGCTGCTGTGAAAGAGGGGGCTGCTGCTGCTGTGTAAGAGGGGGCTGCTGCTGCTGCTGTGTAAGAGGGGGCTGCTGCTGCTGCTGTGTAAGAGGGGGCTGCTGCTGCTGCTGTGTAAGAGGGGGCTGCTGCTGCTGCTGTGTAAGAGGGGGCTGCTGCTGCTGCTGTGTAAGAGGGGGCTGCTGCTGCTGCTGTGTAAGAGGGGGCTGCTGCTGCTGCTGTGTAAGAGGGGGCTGCTGCTGCTGCTGTGTAAGAGGGGGCTGCTGCTGCTGCTGTGTAAGAGGGGGCTGCTGCTGCTGCTGTGTAAGAGGGGGCTGCTGCTGCTGCTGTGTAAGAGGGGGCTGCTGCTGCTGCTGTGTAAGAGGGGGCTGCTGCTGCTGCTGTGTAAGAGGGGGCTGCTGCTGCTGCTGTGTAAGAGGGGGCTGCTGCTGCTGCTGTGTAAGAGGGGGCTGCTGCTGCTGCTGTGTAAGAGGGGGCTGCTGCTGCTGCTGTGTAAGAGGGGGCTGCTGCTGCTGCTGTGTAAGAGGGGGCTGCTGCTGCTGCTGTGTAAGAGGGGGCTGCTGCTGCTGCTGTGTAAGAGGGGGCTGCTGCTGCTGCTGTGTAAGAGGGGGCTGCTGCTGCTGCTGTGTAAGAGGGGGCTGCTGCTGCTGTGAAAGAGGGGGCTGCTGCTGTTGTGGGCTGCTGCTGCTGTGAAAGAGGGGGCTGCTGCTGCTGTGAAAGAGGGGACTGCTGCTGTTGTGGGCTGCTGCTGTGCAAGAGGGGGCGGCTGCTGGTGTGGCCAAACAGGAATATAGCCAGCAATGAAAGCCTAACGCGCTTGTAACCCTCCCTGGCTCTATCCAAAGAAAGAAAAGTTTTGGCTCGGCTTCCGCTATAAATAAATTTTTCGGACTTTGATGGCTTGCTCCAACTTTGATTATTACAGCGCGGTTTTGGAGTCCCATTCGCTCACCTAATTTCCCTGCATCCCATGCTGTTATTGTGCACTGTAGTCCCAGATGGCGCTTGTTGAGGGATCCAGTGTCATTCTTGTTTGTGTAGCAGATGGGACGAGCTGAATTTACATTTCAGTGATGAAATGCAAAAGAGAGCTAAACCGGGCCTGTAAGATAATGCCTTCCCTTCCAGGACTGTTCTGCGGCCCCCTCGTGTGTGTGTTTAGGAAAAGAATTAACTGAAAGCGGCGCTGGTTGCAGGCTTCTGATTGTCTCTCATGCAGTCTTCTGCTATCAGGAACGAGCTTTTGTTGGATGGGAGATTTTTTGCTTCGCTGCATAGCGTTATATTTTATTTATGTAATGTCTGACAGCTCATTCTAGAGAAATAAGAGGAAACGTCGGTCCTGGTAACAGCAAAAATCCATCTCTTTGGCTGGATCCAGGCTTGCATATGTTGCGTCTCATACTCTTCAAGATTTATTGTTCTTCAAGCTTTTATGTTTCATTTTTAGCCCCGGAGGGCAACGTGAGGGTCAGGGCCCTGGATGTTGGATAAAGTAATCATTTTATGGTGTTTTATTAACAGATGCATGCAAGTTAACGGCCCTAAAAGAATGGCAAACCAATTGATTGGGGTCCTAAAAAAACCAAACCAACATTCCGGGGGTCCCAATTCATCATTGCGTCTTTATTAATTGTTTAGATAATCATGGCAATCGCATGCAAATACAATGTTTCAGAACCTTCTTCATCAACAAAATGTACACTATATTGCCAAAAGTATTGGGACGCCGGCCTTTACACGAACATGAACTCTAATGGCATCCCAGTCTTAGTCCGTAGGGTTCAGTATTGGGTTGGCTCCGCCCTTTGTTGCTATAACAGCTTCAACTCTTCTACAAGTTGCTTCCACTTTGTTATAATGCCAGTAACAGGTGACCGCGGAATATTTAGTAGCCAGGAAATGTCACGGATGGACTTATTGCACAGGTGACAACCTATCACGCTACCACGCTTGTAGTCACTGAGCTCCTGAGAGCGACCCAAATGTTTGTGGAAGCGTCTGCATGCCGAGGTGCGTGATTTTATACACCTGTGACCATGGAGGTGATTGGAACACCTGAATCCAATGATTTGGAGGGGTGTACCAATACCTTTAGCAATATAGTGTATGTTGAAGGGACCGCAGAAGGTTCCGATAAATTGTATTTGCATGTGATTGCCATGATTATCTAAACAATGAATAAAGACGTAATGATATATTGCACCGCCGGTGTGCTGGTGACCTTTTCATATCCTGATCTACGCAGTCAGTAACTTTGTCTAGTTTGAGATGATGCCATCAGTCTATTGCATGCAAGATAAAGCATTTCCTCAGTCTCCCCTCCCCCAGTGATCAGTCTGCTGCAGGCAGGAGGAAGCATTTCCTCAGTCTCCCCTCCCCTGTTATCAGATTGCAACATTATAACCTTGCTGCAGGTCACGAGGTGAGAGGCTGCTGCAGGGGCTGGCTCGGTGGCAGACATTTGTGAACACAGACATGGGGATTTACATGATTGTGTCATCTCTGAGCCGGAATCCCGGTCCAGGACGTAGATGGTAGAGGGTGAGCCAGAGACCAAGGGGGAAACTAACATTTTTCAAAACGAGGTCAGCCATGGACAGGTTTATGCTAGTCAAAGCCTCAGCTCCCCGAATACTCTGTTCACTCCATTCAGAAACTCTCCTGAAAGTCCCATCCTACTTGAATCAATATGTGTTATTAATAGCAGTGTAAGAGTAGGTAGTGCAGGCTGTATATCTAATGGATCCTGCAGATGAAGCCGGCACACTGAATCCTGTCCAACATTTTTTGGGGGAAGGGG